TCCCTTCTGCCAGCCCAGAAAGGAGCACTGAAATGCCAATCCTTTCAGAGTCGGCAGAAGGGGTGTCAGAAGAGCCATTGCGTGGCTCTTCCACGTCTCTTCTGGTGCAGCGCGTGCAGAGGCTGTGCCGGGGGGAAGTCATCAGGGTGCTCGCTGTGTGTAATGGTGCACACTCTGATGCCATCCTCGGGAAGGGGTTGAGGTCCTCACCGTCTGGCCTGCCTCCAAGACAGTGCTTTGCGCCATCTGCATCCCCCCTCAATCTCCTGGTGAAAAGAGTTCCATAGCTTGGGAGCAGCATTAAAAAGGCTCTTTTTCATGTCCTTACAAGATGTGCTTTGTAACTAGTGGGATCAAAAGAAAGTTTTCCCCAACATATCTTTCAGCATGAAGAAGCTCAACCAGAGAGATGTGGCTTTATAAGGACTCTGGAACCAAGCCATGTGAGGCTTGAAGACCACAGCCTGCATTTTGAATTCTGCCTGGAAACAATTAGCTGTCAATGGAATTGTTTCATTAAGCGGGTTATATGATCCCCATAATCTGTTCTGGTCAGAGCATTTTGGATCTGCTGAAGTTTTGAAAGAGTTTCAAAGGCAGCCTCATATACAGTAGGCTGAATAGGTGTAATCAAGGCATGCACCACCATAGCCAGATCTGACAATTTAAGGAAAGGCAGGAATGTAATTCTTTGCTAAGGGGCTGAGCAGATGGGCCAGAATAGCACAGGCTGAGCTCATGGTATTTTGGCCCTGGTATTCACTTGGGTTGGTCCATGCGTCAGTGCAGGGATGGGTTGGTTTTTACACACCTGTCCCCATGCCAACCTGGGACCCACTACCAGCACATGCTCTTTACCTTGCTGAGCTGTTACTCATGCTGAGAAGCAATTCATAAATCATGTCTGACATGGAAATGGGGCATCTGACTACACTCTAGATTGTTTTTGTTGGGAAATCTTTGCATTCTTCCCCTCCCCTCCATATATAGATAGGGATTACTACTTACAAATTCTTCCCTCTCTCTCTCTAATTCAAACTAAACATGTGACTTAGGTCACTCCCTCTTTGGACTAACAAACTTTTCTCTCTCAAGATTCTCAACTGAGCTGTTCCCATTTCCTTCTTTGTTTGAAGGATGGTGAGATAAATATTTCTCTTTACCTAAACCATTAGTAAATAGATTAGGTATAGCTGTTTATGTAAATATAGATTAATGACATTGTTTTGAACAATGTCTTTGTTGTTTTTTGAGCCAGTCTTATTTCTTTAGGGAAGCGTAGGCAAAGTCACACTTATGCTACTCTGCTGTTTTAAAGCCAGCCTCTAACAGGCTTGGCTTTCATAATTTGATATTTCAATATTTTTGTTACCTTAAAAAAAGCTGAAGCCTTGAGAAACTTAGGGCCTCGGCAGACGACTAATAAAGTCATCTCCGAGGCAGGGAAGAGGAGGGGCAGCAGCACAAGCGGCGCCCCTTCCTCCTCCCGAGGTTGCCCTTGGAGTTTCCGGCCCTCCGCACGGCCAGCGCTCCCAGGGCAACCTCCCACCGCAACGTCCTCACACGCTGCAGTGGAAAAGCCAGGGAAAGTGCGCCCTACGCATTTAGGGTGCACTTTCCCTGTCTTCTGAAAAGAGCGCTATTTTTGCGCTCCTTTCAGAGGCGCCGACGGTGCGCCTCGGTGTGGCTGCCGCGGTCCTGCGGCGCACTGTCCCAGGGTGTCCTGGATGCCCTGGTCTGCTTAGGGGGTTAGATTACCCCACATTTTTTGCACAGCTAATCTCTGTGGAAAACAATACTTCAATGCATAATTATTTAAGTGCTGTGCAGCAAATTTTCTATGCAGAAAATGTGGTTTTCTTTCCAAATCAACCATATGCAAATATTACAGAGAATAAATTCCCTAATTCTGTTCACAAATTAATAATTCTGTATTGAAACATTATTTTCCACGAAGAAAATGCAAAACACTATGCAAAACAATGGCATGCTTTCAAAGAAAATTAATAGCTTGTTGAATTTAAGGGCTAGAACAGATGGCCAAAGATGCATTGGGGCCACAGCAAACAGATGCCATGGCCCCAATCTGTCCTGAACCTGGCCCAAACAGGAGCTGAAAAGATCTTTTCTGGCCCCACCACAGCCTCAGAGCAGTTTCACAATGCTCTGATGGCATGTGGCATGTAAATGCTGCACCATCAGAGCATCTTGAAGCTGCTTACGTCTGGGAAGCTAGGCAGCTTCCCAGACGTGGCTTCGGAGTGTGTGGCATGTAAACACCACATTTCAAAGATGCCTGGAAGTGGGCTTTAATGGGCCCTCTGTTTTGGGCCTAAGATCCAGCACAATTTTTTTTCTGGGAGGATTCACCATATGCCTCTCATCTCCATTTTTTTTTCATCAGCCACTCTCACAGAAGCAACTGGCTTTCCTCTCCCACTTGCTTTTTATCTTTTCAAAGGAATATTGCAATAGAGGATCTTAATTTCTTAATGTCTAAATTAAATGCTTTGCACATTTTATCAACTTCAAGTTTTAAATGGAACAATAATAAATCTGTTTTTATATCTCTTAGGAGGAGGGGGATGATTCCAAGCCTCTTTCCTTGCACATGTAGACTCTATCCATTTTTTTCAATCTTTTTTGAATATTTAAAATGTCCTTCACATCTCATAGCCAGGCAGGAAGTTAGATTGAAATTGCTCTATATAATTAATTTAATCTAAGAACTCATGGACCTGGGAGGTCATCACATGCTACAGAACCAAAAAATGGAATGTTAGAAACTGTCCAGTAGTTATCTAGTTTAGGGAGGTGCATTGAAGGGTGGTAAAGACCTCAACACATCTTCTTTTAGGCAGGAAGGAACTCTGCCTTGCTGCATTAATGCATTCACTATTCCTGTTACAATCAGACAATCCTCCTGTATTATGTTTGGTCATGTCTCAACTGGAATACTGTGTCCAGTTCTGGGCACCACAATTCAAAAAGGCTGATGACAAGCTGGAGCATATCCTAAGGAGGGTGACCAAAATGGTGAAGGTTCTGGAAACCATGGCCTATGAGGAGAGACTTAGGGAGCTGGGTATGTTTAGCCTGGAGAAAAGAAGATTAAGAGGTGATATGTTATCCCTATTTAAATATTTGAAGGGGTATCCGATTAAGGATGGAACAAGCTTGTTTTCTGCAGCTTCAGAGAACAGAACCCAGAGCAATGGATTCAAACTACAGGAAAAAAAGATTCCACTTCAATATTAGGAAGAACTTCCTGACAGGAAGAGCTGTTCAATAGTGGAACATGCTCCCTCAGAGTGTGGTGGAGTCTCCTTATTTGAGGCTTTGTAGGTGCCTTGATCATATCTTTCTGTTTGGCAGAGGGTTGGACTGGATGGCCCTTGGGATCTCTTCTAACTCTATGATTCTATTCTATGATTCCTGAAGACACATACACACACCAGCACAACAATTAGCAAAATCCAGGAATTGGTTAGGTGAGACAAGCCTTATACACTCATCAAATGTGAGATTCAAACACATAGGTTGTTACTTTCTGTGAAAAGAAACTAGGGAGGGTACCAGTCTAACATTTCTGGGAAAGGAGTTCCATAGCCTGAGGTTAGCCACCGAAATGAAATTGGTTTGAGGGTAGGGTGGGATTCTATTCAAAGATTACTGCAACCAGTCTATAACTCTGAGGAAGGGCTTGGGTTCTATTCAGCTCATCAGGCAAAAAGCCTGGTGACTTTACTTATTTCACTTCCTATCTATGACTTTCTGTTGTTGATGTCGTGCTTTGAATTCATTTCTGACTTATGGCAACCCTATAACAAGATTTTCTTAGCACTTTTTTTTTAGAGGGGGTTTGCCATTGTCATCCTCTGCATCTGAGAGAGTGTGAAGGTCATGCAGCAGGTTTACATGGCTGAGTGGTGAATTGAACCCTGGTCCTCAGAATCACAGTCCAATGCTCAAACCACTACACCACACTGGCTCTCACTTCCTACCTGTCTCAAACATCAGTGCTAAATTTCCTTGCTCTTTGACTATTTCACTATTTTGGACTCCCAGATTTCTTGTCATAAAAGGTTTCTGAATTTCTCATTCTAAAGGTTTTAAGTTGGGAATATGCTTCATAAATTATGATACTCAGTGATATCATGGTAGAGAGAAAAGAACTTGGAAAGACAAAACAAGATTGCATAGTATTTAACAGATCAGTTATTTTATTGAGCAGAACAATTTATAGAGCAGAAATATGGCCTCTCTTTGACAGACTGGGTGTCTCCATTTAGAATGTAATCCTGCTTAATGTGCATGCATAATGAGATCTCTAAAATACAGCCAGGCTGCCTCATTGTATCTAGTCTTGAACAATATTTATTTTATCACTGAAAGGCAATTTACAATGATCATGTTCTCGATGTATCTGGGGAAAGTATTGAGCCTAAAGAATGCCATGGCAACCTATTCTCTTTAGCAAAGGAACACAGGTACCAAAGCTGAATATCAACTTTTACAAAACCCAATAAATGATTCTAAACACTTTATTTTTAATAAGGTATGTATGCTTAAATGGGGAGGGGGTGTTTAAATTCTGCTTCATTCTATGAAAAGTCCACATTAGGGAGGATGATTTTTTTAACACTTTATGTAATGCATTAGAAGATTCAATAGGTGAAAGCTATAGCCTTGAGCACACATAGAACTTTAAGTCCTAATGGAATCAATGGGTTTTATTTCTGGGGGGAAATGTTCCATGTTAAGGTATAAGGAGCAGTGTCCATTGGGTTCAGCAAAAGGCTGAATAGATGATGAATCAGGACAATTTGAATCGGTTCTGGTGCTTCCTGATGGGATTTCCCTCTGTAACTATGACAACCAATCTACCTCCTGCCAAAAAAAGAGAGAGCTAGAAATGGGAACAAATGCATCAATATTTATTAAGGAAGAACAAGGGTGAGTAAAGGGCCCCTTTTTAACTGCATAGTCCCTCCAGATCATTTTCTTCCTCTCTGACCTTAGACCCTGCTTTAAAAAAAAGTACCCAACAATTTCCCATTCAAATGTCCCATGTTCTCTAAGACTGTGGGTGAGCAATTCTGCAATGTTTTTGTTTCTTCTATGGTAGGGATGTCATTCTTCACTTATGGGGAAAACAGAGAGCAGGTAAGGAGCAGTTTGCCCCGCCCTTTGCTTGCTGGGTTGGAGCTGCGGCAACTGCATACCTGGACCCCAATCTGGCTGTTTCCCAGCACAAAAATGAGTGCCACAGAAATGCAAAAAAAGTTGTCATAGTGGCAAAAGCTCTTTTGTTCTGGGGCAGGAAAAGGGAGCTTTTGCCACTGTGGCAGCTTTTTTGCATTTTTGTGGCACAGCATGTGTAAATGCTGCACTACAGGAATGCCCCAATGCTGCCCACGCTCTGTTCGGGTGGGTGGCATGATGCTGGATTGAGGGCAGAGCAAGGCATGCAATGTGTGCCACCACATCCCCATGCCTTCCTGAAGCCAGCTTTTAATGCTGGTCTGCTTAGCCTCTAACAGCCTTTGCAGACTGCCAGAAATAGTGCAAACTGAGTCCACTTTAAATTGAGGCACTGACCTGGTTCAGTGCTAGGGAATCATGAGAATTGTATTTTTTTCTGAGACATTGAGCCTTCTCTGTCAGAGAGCTCTGGTGCCACAATAAATTACAGTTCCCATGATTCCCTAGCACTGAGCCAGGGCAGTGCCTCAATTTAATGTGAACTCAATTTGCACTTTTTCTGGCAGTCTGCAAAGGCCTTAAATTAACAAAGGTTCTAACAATTAATTTCAGCAATTATTTTTCCCACTACAAGAAAGGCTTCAAAAATCATCAAGTGTTCAAAGGATATTCACAATTTGGCACACTTATTCTGTACCCAATTTTTATGACTGGAAAATGTTTCAATGTAGAAATATTTATTCCTGTGCAGAAAATATCACTTTCTGTTTCCATGCAAATGAACTATGTGCAACTTTTACACAGAATAAATCCCCAGTTATACCATTTTCTGTGGCAAAAGCTACATTTTTTAAACACAGAAATTGATATTTCTATATTGAAATATTAATTTTCACTCAGAAAATACCCTTCTTAATA